GCAACGACGATGATAGAGATCAGTTCTATGAAAAGTTACAATCAATCGTAGCGAAGAGCCCAAGAAAGGACCTAACCATTAGGATGGGAGACCTAAACACCAAAGTCGGAATGGACAACACCGAATATAAAGATATCATGGGACGAAATGGACTGATTAGGAGACACGAAGCAAAATGGTGATAGATTCTCACATTTATGTACGTTTCACGAAATGGTTATAGGTGGCACAATAGTCCAACACAAACGCATGCACAAAGCTACATGGTTCTCACCAGATCACGCTACACAGAACCAGATAGATCAAGAAAAATTTCAGAAGCTTCATGGAAGACAAGAGAACAAAGAAAGGAACTGACACATCTTCAGATCACTACCTGGTGATTGACAAGATGAAACTGACGCTAAAGAAGCACTGGGTAACGAATACAGCCTTCTTTCAAGATACTCACAAACCCAACGAATTTAAAATAGATCCCAGTAAGGGGTTCCAAGCCTTACAGGATCTACGGAAGAAAGAAACTACGATGGAGCATTAACTTCAACGTGTCAGGAGGCTCTGGGCCGCAAGAAGCTTCATCATAAGGAATAGATTTCTATCGAAACCAGGGTCAGAATTCAAGAAAAGAAAAACAAGAAGACAGCAATTAACAACGATCGAGCAAAAGCAGAGAAAGACAAGGCACAAGCTGAATGCACTGAAGCGAAAAAGCAAGTGAAGAGGAGCGTTAGAACCAGCAAGCAGAAATACGTGTAAGAGCTACCAATGACACCGAAAAAGCTGCAAGACAAGGAAATATGAAACAACTATGTGACGCGACAAAGAAACTAGCATAGAGAGATGAGTCAAAGACAAAGGAGGCAAGCCAATCACTGAAATTCAAGGACAGAGGAACAGATGGGTGGAACACTGAGGAACTCTTGAATAGACAGCTCCATTAAATGCACCGGACATCGAAGCAGCACCTACAGATGTCACTCCACCAACGATGAAAGAAATCAGGATGGCCATCAGATAAATCAAGACCTGACAATATACAAGCTGAAGCTCTAAAGTCAGACATAGAAGCAAATACAAAGATGCGCTACGTTCTATTCAGAAAGATTTGGGAGGAAGAACAAGTGCCGACAGACTGGAAAGGACGCCTCATCAAGATACCAAAGAAAGAACTGCAGAGGTCTCATATTACTGTTAGTACCAGGAATGATTGCTGAACTGCATGAAAGATTCAGTAGACGTCCAACTTCAAGATCAACAGAACGAATTCCATAAGGATTAGTCGTGCACACACCAAGTCGCTACACTACGAATCATCGTTGAACAATCAATTAAACGAAACTCGTCACTATACATCAACTTCTTTGACTATTGGAAAGCATTCGACAGTGTGGATAGGTGGAGCTTATGGGAACTTGTTTGACACTATGGTGTACCTGAGAAAATCATCAACATCATTTCTAATTCAAACGACGGATTATATTGCGAAGTGGTGCATGCATGGAGAACAGCTGACAAATGCATCCCAAGTGAGGAGGGGAGTCAGACAAGGATGCTTACTTTCCTCTTTTCTTTTTCTTCTGGTGGTTGACTGGTTTATGAAGACCTCGACATTTGAGGGGCAGCATAGAATACAATGGACAGCTCAAAATTAATTAGAAGATTTAGACTTGGCAGATGACCTAGCTTTTCTATGCTATACACACAAACAAATGCAAATGAAGACAACTAGTGTAGCAGCAGTAGACCTCAACATACACGAGGGAAAAAACCAAGATCCTCAAATATAACCAAGAGAACATCAACCCAATCTCACTTGATGGAGAAACTTTGGAACAGGTGGGATCTTTCACATACCTAGAAAGCATCATCGGTGAACAAGGAGACTTTGATGCAGACGTAAAAGCGAGGATCGATAAAGTAAAGACAGCACTTCTACAATTGAAGAACATATGGAACTCAAAACAGCTGTCAACCAATATCAAAATCAGTACGAACGTCAACACAATTCTACTGTACGGAGCTGAAACGTGGAGAACTACTAAAACTGCCATCAAAAAGGTACAAGCATTTATAAACAGTTATCTATCCAAGATACTCAATGTCCGTTGGTCAGGTACCATCAGCAACAGCCTACTTTGTCAGATGACAAACGATTTTCCAACTGAAGAGGTAATTAGGAAAAGACGTTGGAAGTGGATAGGACATACATTACATACTTGGAATCCTGAAGGGAAACAGAAAATTGGAAGATCTAAGAATATGGTGCGTTGGGAATCGGAAGCAGGCATCAAAAGAATGAATTGCAATTGGAAAATATTGTCTAGGATAGAGTTGTATGGAGAATGCCGGTAGGTGTCCTATACTCCTCCACGAGTGGTAACAGGCGTAGGTATGTAAGTGCAAGGTACACAGAAGAATTTTAACGGATCTTGAAAACAGAGAATCAAAGCTTTTTATAAAACAACCAACACTTTATGGAACGCTTTGGTTAGAATAAAACATAAGATCCTGTTTACATCTACACAAAATTGACTAGGTTATTTCAATTGTGATGCGTTCTATATTGAAGAGACTTCTGGTGACATCTTAACTCGTTCTAAAGAACATTTAACTTACATAAAAACACTTAATAATCCTGTAGAATTGGAAAAGTTACAATTGAAACTAGCAATATTAGTACATGTTATTTTCAATATTCATCAAATTGATATTAAAAATAACAAAATAATTGAGGAAGGCTTTTTCGACTATAAAGAGATGCGAGTAGTCGGAAAGTTTCACACAATGCTAAATTCCTCTGCACTCAATAAGAAATAAGGTCTGAATATTCATCCAAAAACCACATTGACACTTCATTTTCCACACAATCTACATACATACACACACTACTTCACGTTAATAATTATAAATGTTTCATACCCACCTTCTGACGCACAAATCATTACAGTGACATGTCATACAAATTCATCTTGACCAAAAACATCATGACATGTTCAGACCAATTATGATTTCGATTGTACTAAAAATATTCCATACTGTTTCCTTTGTACTATTTAAACTTGTAATAATTCTATTTCGGTTATTTGTCGGTTTACTTTAAAGAAGTGAGTTACAGTTAGTCACGAAACATCAGGAATACAATTTTCTACGCATTGAGATATAAAAAATATATTTATTATTAACTATTCTGAAGTCTATGGCAAACAAACAGATTGAGAGAAAAGACAGTTTATTAGGTATTATGTGGAGTATTAGTAAGATGTAAACTAGCTACAAACCAAACTTTATCTTAAACTCAGAAAGAATTTGAGTTTTTCTAAAGAGATTTTCCAGAGTGAAAAATTTAATGGAAACACTTTTGAGGGAGTATTTCCACAAATTAAAGTTCGCCTCTCTTCCAAAAAGTAACAGATACATTTCCATTTATAGTGTGTGTTATGTAAGAAAAAATAACTCGAGACAGAATTACATACTGTGAGATATCAAACATTTAAAATAATATTGTCACTTACATGATAAAGAACTATTCGATAAAGGTAAATTCCAAAGTCGAATATCACAGCCAATTGTTTTAGAATCACAATTTTGACCAGCTACACTGATAAGTAATGTATCATCATTATTCGAATTCAGAGGTTTTGTACAACTTAATCCACAAGGAATTAACCCAGCATGACCACTTAGAGTAGCATGATATCCTGTAAGTGATGGTTCATATACTCGAAATTGAAACTCTTGAATATTACGTGAACCGGAAATTGTTTGACCAATCACAAGTTTCACATTAGTCTCATCAAGTAATTCTGACAAGGAGCCAGGACGATTAATAAATTTGTCAAAAATGTGAGATCCTGTTGATTCATCACTATTGAAAGCAACATTATTACACTTATTCACAGTCATTAGATCTTTCTCTGAGCACTGACTTGGTGTTTCATCGGAACCCTCGTCCATTAATTCATCATTATTTAAACAGCACTGATCAGAAGTTCCTTTCACACTTTCTTCGTCGCTAACTAGATTTCCATCCGTAATATCCTGATGCTGTAAACTGTCATCTTCATCGTTATTAATATCATTAAACGATAATGAACGTGGACTATTATTGGAATCCATAGTATCGACCACAGAATCTTTACTTTTATGAGGTTCTAGTTCATCGTAAGAATTGATAACATTTTTATTGTTCGCTAAAGTAAATGATATGAATGAAATTAATATGCGCAAACAACGATAATATAAAGTATTTCTAAACATACAGTGACTTCAGTGAAACAGTCACTGAGAACAGAAAAACACTGGATATTTGCTTCATTTTTGACTTGCATATTCACATTAACACTATGTGTATATTCATGACTTTGTCATGAGTCCCGACTTTTTCTGATACCTTGACATGGTGGTCGAGCTTGCATATTGTGATGAACCAATCGAGCTGTACAAGCTGAAACAATCGTTCCTCAAGCTCCTACCATGCCAGACCAGTCGGTCAAAGAGCGATACGACTAAAAGCATATATATTTAATGCCCGCTTGTACCAATACTTATGTGTTCAAATAAATAAATAAAAAAACAGCAAGCTCAAGGATCGAGGGCGAAGTCGTACTGCTGACTGTACAGAGGTGTGACGGCAGTAAGGTGTTCCTTCCTCAAGTGTCACTATGTCGAACGATTCTAGTGCACGAAACATTGTCCCAGGTTTACTGAAACCTCGCTCCAAACTACACATTGGAGCAACTGTGTTCAGACAATTGTTTATTTTTAACAAGCACTTTTCTCCACCATCTCAAGCACTTTTCAAACGGAATTATTTTCTACAAATATCTTCTTTCATAAAAATTAACATACATTAAGATTGAGATCATGAACCGGTTTAAGCTAGACCACCATTGAGAACCTGGAAGCACTGGACGGCGGTTTTGTCATAGTATGAGACTCATCAACAGTGCGCACCCATGACCCCGCTACAATTACTAGAAATCGTACTTATGTGCATAGTTTACACAAGTGTATACAAATCAATGTAAACGCTTAGTGCACTGGTAATTTTAAAGTACATTTTATTCAAAGGTAAAATATAATCAGTTTGATAAAAAGGAATAAGAGTGATTATCAACAGACGTGTCATTAAACAACAGAATCAATGATCAGCGAACTGAAAATGATACATACCTACTGATGATATAGTCAAAAACGGAATAAGTAAAGAGAGCAGTTCAAACAGTTGACCAAGTGATTGAAAGTGAATTTAGCATTAAGGAAAGATAAATTTAAAATCTACTAACCGTGTAAGAAGCACTACATCACAGAAAGTGAATGACTCCTTCATTTACACACATTTAATCACAAGGTATCAATTAAATGTATATTAAATATATTATTATCTATATCAATGCACTTATACAGCTATATTAGCAAACCACGCTTTAAATTCGTAAATTATTCTCGACAAAAGTGAGATCCCTTCTCAATATTCAATAAAAGTCCAATATCTACTTTTTCTGACCATCTTATTTTGTTCATTTAGTGAGTCTGTACTATATATGAGAACATGATTATGAAGGAGTGCTTCATTCTAATTATCTAGGGTGACCTAAATATGTATTCTGTGAACACGACACTGTAGTAAATCTTAACTTACAACATTAAGAAGGGAACAAATACAGTGAAAATTACAGTTTGAAATAGAATCCTCAGTTAGAATTATACTCTTATATACAGTATTTAATCGACAACGAAATGAAAAGAAAAAACAAGCTAAATATTGTAAAATAAATATATTAAACATTGAAAAATTGATGAGTTACAAATTGATGCAACAAAAGAAAAACCATTCTAACTTACAGGAATAATAACAAGGAGTATATTCAAATGATTGGACTTTAATAAGATTCACTACATTCTCATTGGTTGTATTCGAGTTCAAGGTGTCTAACGGTGATGATATTATCATTTCACTGATAAGTTCAAAATTTTCATTTCGACCATATCGCCATACACTTATATGACCATTAGATGTAGCAGAAAAAATATAAGGATACTACAATTTTGAAATTTAAGAGAAAGAAAGAAAAAAAGGACAACATGGATCTTTATTTTGATATACTTTGAATTAAATACGTGTAGAGTCTGGTGTATGACATAAAGAGAGAAATCATTTGATGTGAATACTACAAACTAAATAATGATGACCTAAACTTAATATCCATTATAATTACTGTTTAATTTTATGTGAAAAACACAGATTGAGCAATGAGCATAATAGAGATGGATAGTGACTAACAATGAAATCCAAGACGAGCATTTCATCCACTACTAAACACTATCCATCTCTACTTATAATAATTAAGACTTAAGGCAATATCGAAGCAATCCACACAGGATGCACATATGCCAATAGGAGACTGATCAATTTTGAGTCCTAAACATAAATGGGAAGATTTAAATAACCAATACAAAAATGCAATGAATATACTAGTTTTCATTTAAGCTGTGATGAACATGGGGTTTGGACAAATTGATTACCCCACTTACTTTTTTTTTAATATTCAATATTCAATCTAGTTTACCACTAATAGCTATCAGAATGTGATTAGGATAAAGCTAATGAAGATAAATGATTTGTTAATTCCAATTATCACTAGGTCTCATGGGAAAAAAAGCACAACTCTATTTTAAACTCGAATATATAAATCGGTGTAGCTGATGAATGGTTAGTTACAGTTTTGCTTCTATAAAACACGCACACAAACATACACATAAAAGAACAACAAACACAAACGATTAGCAATATAACCATCCATAAAACTTACATTGAAATCAAGTGATTTAATGCCAAGTTTATATGAAACAAGTGTTTGGTTCAATTTATATTTCTTTGATTTAATTCTATATAAATGAATTGACTGATCACTACTTCCAACAAGTAATGTTAGTTTTCTGTCATGCATTTTATGCGGGATATATGACCATTTCAATGATATAATCCAATCTTTAGAAGCATTATGTATGATGTATTGAAGTGTTACTTTTGCAGTATTTGAATCATAACTGTAGACAGCTACATTCTGGTACGTACAAAAAAAAGAAAAGAGATCTAGTTACAGTGAATTCAATCTAATATTTTAAACGATGAACAGACTAGTTCATCAATCACCGAACATTTGAATGAAACGGTTGCAAAACAAACTTATAGAGCATTGACTTAGTGAACAAAGTATTTGATCGGCAACACTTAGGCTTCTTCTATTTGACCAATTTGATAATCATGCTAACTCCGTTTAACAAACAACTACCTGGATCAATGAACAATTATTTTATCCTTTGGATTTGAATAAGTAAATGACACGACGTAGAATTCAAAATTAGACTTAAGAAATATAATAATTTTCCACATTTGAAACAGAAATCCATAATCATCATTTCCAAGCTCAACCAATTTGTGCTATATTGCAGAGTCATTGATAATATTTGCGCATATAACTATTTCTCATCCGACTAAATTTTATTTTTTTATTTATTTACACACATGCCCCCAAATGCCTTGGTACGGCCGAGAGTGGGGAGAGTCCGCTCTCCCTCTCGAAATGCTCTCACATGGCCGCGCGTATACAGCCTCTGACAGTGAAATCCTACTCATTGCCTTCTCGTGGCGGGGGTGTTGTTTACGAAAATGAGAGGACGAAAAGCGAATGTCCGGGGCTTTAACCTGATTCCAAACCAATGGTGCACATGGGATCCAGTATCCTGCGGGAACAAATGGCGTGTGAACCAATCGTTGGTCACCGGCTACCATGGGACTGCATCTCCTTACGATGTTCCACTGCCTTGTGGGTTAGACCTTTAGGTCAAAAGCTCGATGTGTGGCCCCCTAAGATAACCACCTGCTTCGGTCTGGGCACCCGGGCAGTATCACAGCCCACGCACAAATGATGAACTCTCTATGGCTATGGAAACTACTTTTCTCGCTTCGAATAACAATCAAATGATTCAAATTATTATTATTATTATTATTATTATTATTATTATTATTATTATTATTATTATTTACCACATTATTCACCCGCTTTTATACTTATACAGCGACTCGTCTTTGGTGGAAATTCGACTATATCTAAACGTTCTCGAGTCACTGTCCGGTTGAAAATTGTATGTTACCACTGAATATGAGTACTGAAGCAGTTTTTCTGAAACCACGTGCACCATTCAAACTGGCTGCCTTCAACGTTCGCACACTTATGCAGGTCGGACAACAGATAGGGCTGGCTATGTCTTTGGAAAGTCTTAATATCAACGTTTGTTGTCTATCCGAGACCCGTATTCAAGACTCTGGCGAAGAACTAAAAATTCGATCTCCATCTGTCGCTTCGAAAAACTTGTGTTAGGTGCGCTTACCCGGGGACCCTGTGGCATCTTCGTCTGGTGTTGCTGGCGTTGGTGTCGCACTAAGCGCTAGAGCTGAGGCAGCACTAGTCGATTGGATCCCCATTAACAGTCGGTTATGTGCTGTTAGATTAGAAAGTTCCATCAAAGTGAGAGGAAATCGGTGTGAGAAACGATGTCTTTTCGTCATCTCCGCCTATGCCCCGACAGATTGCAGCCCGGATGCAATCAAAGATGAGTTTTACCACCAGTTATCTGTTCTCCTCCAGAAAGTGCGTTCGACAGATATTGTAGTACTAGCAGGAAACTTTAATGCTCAGGTTGGACGTCTAGGCACAGAAGAGAGTCGTTTAGGTGGCCGATGGGGACTCGTTGGTCGCAGGTCAGATAACGGGGACCGTCTACTGCAACTTTGCACAGACCACAACCTGTTTCTGGCTAGCACTAACTTTCGGCACAGTCATCGCCAATGTGCCACCTGGCGTCCTCCCTCTGCATCTCAAGCCTGAACTCAGATTGATCACATTGCAATCAGCTACCGCTGGTGTATTTGAGTACAAGACTGCCGCTCCTTTTGGAGTACCTATCTGAACTCTGACCATGCCTTGGTCTGCGTCAATCTTACCTTACTTTTCAGTGGACAACGAAGTGACCGCCACCAACGGATTGATGTTAGCAAGCTGGTTGCAACTTCTGTTGCAAGTAAGTATCGAACCGAGCTAGCCGCTAGGCTAGCTACCAATCCACCGAAAAGTATAGATGAGCATTGGTTGCAATTGCATGACGCCATGAAAATGGCGGGAACAGTCAGTTGTGGGTTCACGAAACGTCCCGCTTTTAAGCACTGGGTTTCTTCTGGTTCCTTACAACTCATCGAAGCCCGTCTGTCTACTCCGGGTGACCGTGAGTTTGACCACAAACGAAGGATGTTACATAAGGAAATTGGGCAAAGCTTGAGTAAGAACCGAGAAGCCTGGTGGCCGGAGCGTGCTAATGAGCTGGAAGCAGCAGCTGTATCTGGTAATTACCGGAAGCTCTTCCAACTCATCCGAGCCACTGACAGCAAGAAGTCTGATGTGAGCGAAACAATCTGCGAGGATGATGGGATGCCAATCACTAACATCCATCGACGTCTTGGACGGTGGGCAGAATTTTTAGAAGGGCAGTTCAACTGGCCTGCTGCTCCGGCAACATCGGTCAGACTGTCCTGCCCTCCATGGCCGGTGACGACTGATCCACCAAACGAGAATGAAGTCCGCAAGGAACTCCAACTCTTGAAGCGTTACAAATCACCTGGCCCAGATGACTTACCTCCAGCTCTTTTTAAAGATGGTGGTGACTTTTTGACTAAGGAATTGACGACGTTGTTCACAAAGGTTTGGGAACTAGAGAGTGTACCAACGTCATGGAATGAGTCGATAGTTGTCCCTATCTTTAAAAAGGGTTCACGTCGTTCCTGCAACAACTATCGAGGGATAAGTCTACTTCCGATTGCATCCAAGCTATTGGCTTCCGTCATACTTCGTAGGTTGTTCGAAACCCAAGAAAGATTGACTCGCGAGGAGCAGGCTGGGTTTCGTTCTGGTCGAGGATGTATTGATCATATCTTCACACTCCGCCAAATGTTAGAACACCGCCATACTTTTCAAAGGCCAACAATCGTAGTGTTTTTTGACATCAGGACTGCCTTCGATTCGCTGGATAGGACTATTCTCTGGGATTGTCTATTGAAGAAGGGTGTGCCTGAGAAGTTTATTAACATCCTAAAAGCCCTATATACAAACACCTCAGGCAGAGTGAGGGCATACAACCACCTCTCTCCATTGTTCCATTCGAGCAGTGGGGTTAGGCAGGGTTGCCCAATCTCACCATTCCTCTTCAACTTCGCCATCGATGACATTCTAGAAACAGCTCTGATGAATGTAAGTAATGGTGGTGTGGATCTGTTGCCTGGAGAAAGACTTCTCGACCTTGAGTATGCGGACGATATTGTCTTACTGTGCGATGATGCCCAAGGCATGCAATCCGCACTTAATCAGTTGGCAATCAGTGTCCGTAGGTATGGTATGTGCTTTGCACCTTCGAAGTGCAAAGTACTTCTACAAGACTGGCAGGATTCCAATCCTGTACTCACCCTGGATGGTGAGCAGATAGAAGTAGTCGAGAAGTTCGTGCATCTGGGTAGCTGCATAAGTGCTGGTGGGGGTGTGAGTGATGAGATCAATGCACGAATAGTGAAAGCCAGAGCGGCTTATGCCAATCTGGGCCATCTTTGGCGCCTTCGTGATGTTAGTCTGGCTGTAAAAGGTCGGATCTACAACGCGTCGGTGAGGGTAGTTCTGCTCTATCCTTGTGAAACCTGGTCTCTCCGAGTTGAGGACGTTAGACGACTCTCTGTGTTCGATCATCGCTGTCTCCGAAGGATTGCTGACATCCAGTGGCAACACCATGTCAGTAATGCAGAGGATCGGCATCGTGTGTTCGGGCACAGAGACGATAATCTAATTGGTGTCACCATCTTGAAACACCGACTTCGGTGGCTTGGACATGTTCTACGAATGTCGCTCCAGAGAATTCCACGTCGTGCATTATTTGCCGACTCTGGGACTGGTTGGAAGAAGCGGAGAGGTGGTCAGTGCATGACATGGTGTCGTGGTATGAAAGAAAGCTGCAAAGGACTGGCTTGTGCTGGTCCTTCACGACTCCCTGGTTGGGGTCCGAGAGATGGTGCTACACAGTGGCTAGAGACGTTATCAGATATGGCTCAGAATAGAAGCCAGTGGCGATCCTGCTGTAACCTTCTTTTACTTTCTTCATAAAAAGTGGTTGTGTCTCCCTTACCTGAAAGATTTCTTCTGATTGTACCTCGTTACTACCACACTACCTTACACCAATCTCTTCGTTATTGTTCTCTTTTTCTTTTGCGCTCCTTAGTTTTTTTTCTATTTCTCTTCGCATTCTCATTGTTTTGTGTGGCGCATATATATTGGCGCTCTCTTGTACCAATATTTATGTGTTCAAATAAATAATAAATACATAATTAACAACACTAACTTTATCTTTCGAGCCAGTAGCTATAAAATTCATTTGTACTGCGACAGCAGTTATTTGACCACTATGTTGTCGAAGACAAATTGACTTTACTAAAGGATTTTCTAACTTGGAACCAACAAAATACGCCCATACTTCACAATTCCCACCTCCGCTAACTGCGATAGAACTAGAAGCAGATGCGCATAGAGTACCACCAGCTTCACCTGTCCCATTCTCTGCATGTTCAATAGAATGTGACCAAGAAGTATACAAAGGTACAATGGATAAATTGCATATAGAATGTATATCGGACTGAACAGTAGAGTTATCATCTCGTTTTGATTTAATTTCAGGCTTAAAGCTAAAGTGGTATAACTAGAAAAGAGAAAATAAATAACAGTAATAAATTAAATGGACAGAAAAAATAAGAAAGTATGATGACATATTTACATTTAGATATAGATAGGACAAAATCCACTTACAAAAGTGGAAATTCAATGACCAGACATATTATATGATGTACACAATAAATCTGTTATTCACTGAATGTTATGTCCATAAATAAATGAATGGAATTTCACAGCAAACTACATCGACAGAGATTGTTAGGGGAAATAATAATTACGTCTGACCAACGCCTAGGTAGATGGACGATAATTAGCTGGTTTAAGAGTAAGTTGGAAGAAAGGTAGAAGAAGGAGGGGTGTGTATCATTTTAACTTCATCTCAGCGTGCTAATACGGTCGGGACGTTGAGCCTGCACATATTTATTTCAGACCATATGTTGATTATGACTGACTGATTGACTATAATTCAAACAATTATGATTAGGTAAATCCAATATTATAACGCTTCACTGCAACTTATACAAGACGGTGTGTTGACTACAATAAGGTATTTCAGGAATAAATATTAGTTAAAATATAAAATTCAAATCAACTATAATTGTCAGAAGGGGTTTTGTGGAGATTTTTGTAATTTCACTAGTTGAAATCATGAGACAATTGAAGCTAGACAACCATGGAAAACCTGGAAGCACTTGACGGCCGTTTCGTCCTAGTATGGGACTCCTCAGCAGTGCGAATCCATGACCTTATCTAGGCGATCGAATCCAGGA